AAGCTCTGTCGAAGTGCTTTCCTGTCATCTCAAGTTGTTTGTCCATTTTGGAAATCGCATGTCCTACCTATAACGTATTTCGAATAATAAGGCTGGGGCTTCGACAAGCTCAGCCTGACTGGCTTTGAGGCTACCATTCAGCGTTTCATAGCCTTGAAACTACATGATACTAGTCAGGTTGAGCGGAATCGAGACCCGCAATAGCTTAATGGTAAAAATCTACGTTCTCGTAGTGCAACAATAGCTCCGTCATTCTATCGGGGTCATTGCCTTTAAAGTTTACCGTGCCAAAGTGATTGCCAAAACCATCGCGGCCGTTTATTTTCTGGGTGCTGAGCGGGGGCACTAAATTATGGTCTAAAAAATAGGGCTCCTCTTGCAGCTCCTGCGGAATTTCCAATCTTTCAATTCGTTCTTTTCTAGGGTAAATCATAACGTTTCCGTAGAAGGTTTCCGGACGGTAATCTTTGGGTGGGAACATGGCGTCAAACTCCTCCTCGCTCAGTGAAGGGTCGTGCGACATCACAAAATTGGCCAGGGCGTCAAAACCGTAGGCTTTGCTGCAAAGCTCCAAAATATGCCCTCCGGGTATGCGGCAGGCGGTTTCGCCAAAGCTCAGCACATCGTTTTCATCTAAAAACCATTCGGGATGCACCATGCCAAATTCAATCCCAAAGATGTCAATCATTTGCTGCACTTTCTCCCAAATTAACTGGCGCTTGGTGTGCAGGTAGTTTCCTTCGGGAATAAAATTCGAATAGCCCAGTTTCACGTATTCCGTAATGTTGAGCCAACGCAATTTCCCTTTGTGCACAAAGCCTTCACAGCTAAATTCGCGGCCACTCAGGTGGCTTTCGGCCAGGCAAGGAAAGTCGCTGTCTTCCACCTTGTCGTCAATGTCTTGCATGGTGCGCAACAGGCGGTGGCCCACCGTTCCCGCGGAAGCGAAAGGTTTGATGTGCACCCAGCTATCTTCCTCTCCGTCAAGCTGTAGGTTGGCCTGGTTCAACCGCTTCATAAACTGCTTCACCTCTTCGCGGTTGTGCACCTCCTCAAAAAGCCCAACCTTCAATCCGCCAATGAGCGCTTTACGCTTCATCATGGCTTTGTTGCGAAATAAAAAAGCGCGGTTCAATACGCGGGGATCATCGCGGTATATTGAATTTAAGGCTCCGGCCCACTCTACCGTTTCTTCAAAAAGTGGCACGGCCACATCTACGTTAAAAGCCTTGAGTTTTTCATGCAGGTCCAATGAATTGGAGGTGTCGCTCCACTCGTCTAGTTGATAAGGTAAAAAAGGAATATTATTTTCTTTAGCGTGCGACTCAAAATCGGGAAAGGAGACCACTACAAAATCTTTTCCCGTTTTCTGCATACTTTCAATTACCGGTAAACTCCAGCCCATCAGGGCAAAGCACTTTGCCATTTTCTTAGTTTTTGTGATTGATTATTGTGTCTATTCTCAACTTTTGCACAATAAATTAAGTAGCATTATAGCTATTTGTTTTTGCATCTGCAAAAGCCGGTTTATTTCACTACCACATTTAACACCCTTGCTTGTTCAAGAAAAAACTCCGAAAAGCCAAATTCACTTGCTCTTCGGAGTTTATTGGTACTAACTATTTCAACTTACTGCTTGAGTATATTTCTTCGCAAAATGCCAGTGTTACTGTGAATTTGCAAGTAGTAAAAGCCCGCTGTTAAGGAGCCTATGTCCATCACCAACTCCCCGCTGTTTTCTGACAGAGACCAGCTTTTTACCGCC